CTGGGTTCTGTGTAATGCAGGCCTCAGAATTAGAATGGAGTTGGGTGAAGGATGTGGGGGATGGTGGAGAGCTGCAAGGTGTGAAGATCTGATCCAAGAAGTTTGTTGGTGGTGGAGGGACTGATAGAAGGTGGGGCTGGGCTGGGGGAGGGGTGGGTGGCTGGCCGAACCTGTTGAAGAACTGATTTAGATCGTTCACCCACCTCAAGTCTCCTGCAACCTGCAGGCTTGTTTTATGACCTGAGATGTTCTTCAGGTTTCTCCAGACCCACTGGTGTTACCCTGCTGCAGCTGGTCCTCCATCTTCTTCCTGTAGATGTTTTTCCTCTCTCTGATCTTTTTCCTCAGATCCTTGTGTACAGTTTGCAGCTCCTCCTTGTTTCCTGACTGAAAAGCTCTCTTTTTCTCCTTAAGCAGAGCCTTTATTTCAGAGTTGATCAAGGGTTTGTTGTTTGAGAAGCACCATACCATCCTGATGGATACAGTGTTGTCCATGCAGACGTTTATGTAGTCCGTGATGCAGTCTGTGATATTGTCAATGTTTTCTCCATGAGGAGCACAGAGCTCTTCCCACACAGTGGAGCTGAAACAGTCTCTCAGAGCTACTTCTCTCTTCTCGGTCCATTTCCTCGCTGTACGTGTCACCACTGGTTCCCTGCATACCAGCGGTTAGTAAACAGGCTGGAGATGAACCAGGTTATGGTCAGACCCTCCAAGAGGAGGCAGTGGTGATGAGTTGTATGCATCCTTGGTGTTGGCATACAGTACGTCCAGAGTGCTGGTATTTCTGGTGCGGCAGGGTACATATTGGGTGAAGTTAGGCAAAGTGGATGACAGACACATGATTAAAGTCCCCAGAGATCAGAAAGAGAGCCTGTGGGTGCTGTGTTTGGAGTCTTCTTGTTGTTGTGTGGAGGACATCGCATGTTGTAGCAGCATTAGCGGGGGGGCTATACACAGCTATCACAATAACGTGAAAACTCCCGTGGAAGATAGTATGGCCTCATGCTAACTGCTAACAGTTCAATGTCCTTACTGCAGTGCGTCTCTTTGATAGTTACATGCCCGGCATTGCACAATCTCTCATTCACAAACACAGCCAGACCCTCTCCTCTCTTCTTACCACTATTCCTGGTTCTGTCAGCACGACTTGAGTGAAAGCTATCCATGTTTATGTGTGAGTCGGGAGTTAGCGCTGTTAGCCACGTCTCTGTCAGGCAGATGATGCTGGCTTCTCGGTAGCTCCTTTGATGTTGAGCTAGCACTGCTAATTCGAATAGCTTGTTATGAAGCGACCTCACATTTCCCATGATGACGGATGGGATGGCAGGTCTGTATCTCCTTCCGTGTTGTGACGTTCGATGCCCGCGTGCCTGCTGCATCTCTTCCTCCTCAGTTCGCAGGGGACATTGGGTCGTTCTGTTGAAGCTACAGCGAAGTTCCTTAAGGAGAACAGCTGGTCCTGAGTGTAGAAAATAGGAGAGTGAGTCATCATAGTCAGCATGGTCACTTACTCCCGACACGAAAACCAAAACAAGAGAGAGAAAAAACAGCACCTCCAAGAAAAAAAGTCAGCTCCATTGTGAGCACAAACGTAATAATATGCAAATAAAGAAATAAAAAGACAGCATAGAAAATATAAAGATATACTAAAACTAGAACAAAACACAGGGTTTTTCCTGAACTGCTACCACGGCTGCCTGCTGGTGCCGTGCCATGTTGAAAAAAAAACGTATGTACAGCTAAAGTTTAGATATATTTTGGGAGTTGTCTACAAAGTGGAATAATTAAAGTAACCGGGATCAGGACAGTAAAAGCAAATAAATGAGAAATTCTGTGTTTATTGACCAAAGTTATAAAGATTTAATTATGTAGTATTTGCAACATGACAGTTATTACAAGTATATTGATTAAGATGAACAGAAATACTGGTTTTTGATTGTTTATTACATGATGCACCAGATTATTACACCACCACATTTTGTGTCAATTGGCGAAAAATGTAAGAACATTTTTGCATAATGTGCTGAAGACTTTTATTACATTTTGCATCAATTATTACATAATGTGTTTTTAACACATTTTTTTTTACATTTTGAAGCCTGATTTTATTACATTATTACATGATGCATTGTTTTTACAAAATGAGGTCTTACAAGGCTCTTGAGCAAGGTCCTCAGCCACCCAGCTGCTCCCTGATCACCCTATTTGGCAAATCACTGCTTTACATGTGCAATGGGAAAATGTGGAGATCCATTTTCTCCATCGGTGTATACAGAGAGCATATACTATTTTACTCACAAAACTATTTCAATCTACCTGTTAAATTCTGTATTAGTTTGCATTCACAAAGGCCAAAACAACATAACTCTAAGTTATGGGATGTTGTTTTTTCTTGCTGAAACAAATTGACTTTCTTGTCTCATTAGGTAATGATCACAACAAAAAAGTGTGCAATGGAACTGAAGATATAACAACACTTAAAACCCCATACACTGACACATCTCAGTTAAGAGTTACTAACATGGTGTACAAGGCTGTTTATGCAGTAGCTCATGCCATTCACAAAGCAGTGTGTGAGGAAACTAATGATGCCACTCAGTGTGAGAAACACTTAAGATTGGAGTCACAACAGGTCAGTTCATATAAAATGTACAATTTTTAGGGTTTTTCATAAACTTTCATGAAAAATGTGATGTAATGTAGAGTTAACTCGCTAACATTCTCCATACAGCCACAATACTATTTTTTCTTTTACAACACAGGTTTTTACTGAATTAAAGAAAGTCAACTTTTCTCGCAATGGTTATCCCGTGTCATTTGACCCAAATGGTGATCCCGTGGCTTTTTATGAGCTGGTCAATTGGCAAAACAGTGAGAGTGGAGTTATTGAACTGGTAACAGTAGGATATTATGATGCATCACTGCCAAAAGGCCAGGAGTTTCAAATCAACAGGAACATAACCTGGATGGAAGGTGGCACACAAGTAAAGAAACCAGTGATAAGAAAATTACAGATGAGAGCAGAAGCACAACAATCTATCACTTTAATTTTTCAAATTTGTGAGACAGGTTCCAGTGTCAGTGTGCTCTGAGAGTTGTCGTCCAGGAACTCGTAAGGTGTTGCAGAAAGGAAAACCCATCTGCTGCTATGAATGTATACCATGTCCTGAAGGTGAAATCAGTAACAAGACAGGTAATTATAAGATAAAAAATGCCTTACATTTTATTTATTTATTTATTTTGCTAAATGACAATGTTGTTTTAATTCCTTAGATTCTACTGATTGTTTTGCATGTTCAAGCGAATCCTGGCCTGGTACAGAACAAGATACTTGTGTCCCCAAACATGTCGAGTTTCTGTCTTTTGATGAAGTCCTGGCAATCATCCTGGCTGCATTTTCTGTTTTTGGAGCCTGCTTGACCATCATAACAGCAACTATTTTCTTTCGTCACAGAACATCTCCAGTTGTTAAAGCCAACAACTCTGAGCTGAGCTTCTTGTTGCTCTTCTCTCTGACTCTGTGTTTCTTATGTTCATTAACTTTCATTGGAGCTCCCTCTGAGTGGTCCTGCATGCTGAGACACACAGCGTTTGGTATCACCTTTGTTCTCTGTATCTCCTGTGTTCTTGGAAAAACTGTAGTGGTTTTAATGGCCTTTAAAGCTACACTTCCAGGTAGTAATGTCATGAAATGGTTTGGACCTCCACAACAAAGGATGACTGTTGTGTCTCTCACAATTATTCAGGTTTTAATTTGTACTGTATGGTTGGTTCTCAGTCCTCCCTTCCCAATGAAAAACCTGAGCACATACAAGGAGAAGATCATCCTGGAATGTGCATTAGGCTCTGCTGTTGGCTTCTGGGCTGTGCTCGGCTACATTGGCCTGCTGGCTGTTTTTTGCTTTTTGTTAGCTGTTCTAGCTCGGAAAC